CTAATAGGGTTTTGTTCTGTTCTTTGAGAAACTATTGAGAAACTATTCTTTATTCTTGAGAAAGTTACAGCATAAGCATGAGTCAGAAGGGGCTTGGCTATAAAAGGGTTAAAACCTTGTGCTTTGGGTGTTAAGCAGGGAATATACAGTTTCTTTGGTCCCATGGTAGATTGTCCCTCTCATGAGCTGTGTGACTCATGAGCATATACGAAATGTAGCTGGTGATGAATATATTGTCCTTTAAAGTGATCGTCTTTAATAGATAGACCTGTACCTTTTCAACTAGCATGCCAGATGTGTTTTGCGTTTGTTAAGGTGCTGTTTACAATTATAAAGAGATAAGCTTTTTTTCTCCTTTCCCTGAGATGGAATGGACCCCCCCCCCCACCTCTACTCAGGAACTATATGAGGTTCAAGGCCCTGAATGTATGGTAGAGCTCAAGTTTAATCTCACCATTTCAGAGGAAGAGGGGCAGATGAATCTCTGAGTTCTGAGTTTGAAGCCAGCCTGGTATAGTTCCAGAACAGCTAGAGCCACTTAACAGAGAGACAGGCTCAAAAAAAGAAGCAAACTAAAATGTTAAATGTAGCTGAGTCTGGTAGTGTAAATGTACATCTGTAATCAGAATAAGGCTAGGTGACTTCCAGAAGATTCAGGCCAGCATGGCCCTGTCTTTAGAAGATCCTAACTTAAAGAAAACAATGGGAAGTGAAAAACTGATTGAGATTTTTATTTTCACCCTGGTCCTAAATGGTTAATTCCATCCCTCCTCAAGGCTCAGGGAACCTGTTGCTAAAGTTGTTTGCCATGGTCCTCTATGAAAAAGCAGCCAGGTTCTCAGTAGCTGAGCCAGTTCCCCTTGCTATAACCTTGCCACTTCTTCCTTTCCCCGTGCTTTTATTTTATTTTATTTTTGAGATGGTCTCTCTGCATAGCTGTCCTGGACAGTCTGGCCTTGAACTTTAGGTGATGTGCCTCTGCCTTCTGGCACTGGGATTAGAGGTGTGTACTACCAAACCCAGCTTGAGTTACTGGATTTTGTTATTAAGCTTATACTTTATAAGCTGTTAGACTTGTAATTTGACTTCAGTTTTTTTCCTCTTTGTTTGAGATGAGATCTTGCTATGTAATCCATTCAGGTTTTGAATTTACCACATAGCACAAGCTGGTCTACCTCAGTCTCCCTAGTGCAGAAGTTACAGGTGTTTGTCACTACATCTGACTTTGGCTTCAGAGTTACTGGTTTTCTTTTTACATCTTTGACAGTTGTTTGTGAAGGACATAGCTTCATCATTGTTAATACAGTAGTCACCCTTCCATGAGCCAGTTTCCTTCAATATGAACTAATGAAATTTAACGGGAACTACGATTCTTTCAATTGCCTAATAGCTACATGTACCCATTAGCAGCTTTGGGACGTTTTGGATTTTTTTTTTCCTCCTCTAAGATGGGAAATGACTTAAGTAATGAAAAATGAAGGCTTGTTGATGGTTTTTCTTTCTTTCTTAGAGAATATTATTTTTTTCAGTCCTTATTTCTTCAGACACAGCTTTACACTCCTATTAGTAATATATAAATAAGGTCAAATCTTTTTTAAAGAAACAAAAGTAATTTTTAAAATCCTATATGTGTGCACAAATAACACCTGAATTAACATTTTCCATTCCTACTGTACTTTGCTACCTCTATGTACTTGAATTTCCTTTCAATTTTTTTTTTTTTAAAAGGTCAAAGGGTGTTTTTCATTGTGTGGTGTCAGGTGTCATGTAATTTAGATTTATTAGTTACCCTATTGTTATTTGGAAATCCTTCACCCTTTTGGGGGGGGGGGTGAATGGTGCTTGTGGTAAGGTGCTATTAGGTGCTGGGTAAGCCATTTAGCAAAAAGAAAATCCTTAGGTTTGCTTTTTAAAAATTATTTATTTTTTTTACAGTGTTCTGCCTGCACGGTAGAATAGGGCACCATATCTCATTATTATAGATGGTTGTGAGCTACCATGTGATTGTTGAGAACTGAATCCCAGACCTCTGGAAGAGCAGTAGGTTCTGTTAACCTCTGAGTCATTTCTCCAGCCCCTATTCTTACTTTTGTACTTTAAAGTTTTCCTCACATTGGAACTCTAAATAAAGATTGAGTGTGTCCATGTGCCTGGGTCCAAGTCAGTCCATCCATCTTTGTGTATGTGGACATGAGTGCAGGTGCTTACAGGAGCTAGAAGCTTTGGATCTCTTGGAGCTTGCACAATAGGCACTTAAGAGTTGGCAATAAAATTCATGTTTTTTGGAGTAGCAGTTTATGCTCTTAACCACTGAGCCAGCGTTCAGCCTATTATTATTATTATTAAAACCTAGCATGCAAAAAACTGTTACTACTTCTACTGAAATTACTTTTCTGATTGTGGTCTTAGATCACTTAGACAGAAACATGAATGTGGTAGTAGAGGTTAGAGTGCTCAGTGCATGGATACGAAAGCTTGAGTTCAGACCCAGAGACCATCATAAAAGTGGGAGGAGAGAACCTTCTCTATCCCTCTATCCCCTAATAATAATTATTGAATAAAAACAAAGTTAAAAACCCTGAGAGACATCAGTGCATTATCAGAGAATGCAGATTCAGGAGTCATAATGCTGGGATCTAGAGATTCCACTGATAGAAAAGGAATTTCTTTGAGAGAGGTAGAGGATAATGTTACTTTAAATTCTTTCAGGTTTTTAGGTACTATTTCCATATGAGTTTATGTAATCTTCAAATTTGGAATAATGGGGGTATTTGTATTTTTTAAAACATACCAATAATTAGAAATTGCTAAAGCATTGTTAAATTGCATGGACCCGGTTACCAACTAACTTCATCATGTCTGCAAGTAACTTTAGTCTGTAAAAAGTATTGCTGTTAAGTAAAAGAATGGTTTGTATTGTATACCTGTTTCCAGACTAGCACTTTCACTTCATGTGATGAAAGCATGATCACTTTTCAAATTTTGTCTGTAACCTGTAGAATACTGGTTTCTTTTGTCAATTAAAAATGAGCATTTAACCCAGTTCTTCAATGGAAGTAGGAATTTAGATAGAAGTAAGAACAGTAAAAGAAGACAATAGAGAGAGCAAGCATGTCAGAATTTTCTAATTCCCTTATTACCTGATAGATGTCAAGCAAATTTGGTTAGTCATGCATTTAATACCTCCACTCTAAACTAATTAGGTATTTACTTATAGGTTAGTCTCATGTTTGTATATATTGTAAAAATATGTGTTCTTTGAATATGACAGCTGTCCAATTCATCATAATTGTGTAGGCATGTCTTATCCTCTTAGCAGCCATATACAGGATGCCAAGTTTACTCTGTATCACTAAATAGTTTCATTTGATGTACAAAAATATATTCTAGTCTTGCCATTTTGTTCTCCTTTGTTTTGGTTTATGGTTTGTGGGAGTCATTTTCTCATCGCAGTAGTAGTTGGAGACAGGCTGATTAGGATTCCATGGGCAGATAGAGTGAACAGAGAATGAAGTGGAGTTGTGCTATGAAATCTAAAGTGGGTTGTACCCACTCCCTCCTGCAGCAAGACTTACCTCCTTAAGGTTCCAGAACTTCCCAAACAGTGCCACCGTCTGGCAATTTAAGTGTTCAAGCACATTCATGCACAACATTCCTCTTCTGAACACTACACAGGCCCATAGCCATCTCATGCAAAATGGATTTGTTTTACTTTGCAGAGTTTCCATAGTCTTTAACAGTCCCAACACTATTCAGAAATTTACTGTCTTTTCTGAGACTGAAGGTAATCTCCCTTTAAAATAAACAGTTACATGCTTCAACTTATAAAAGCACAGAGTAAACATTTCCATTTTAAAAGTGAGGGATTGGAGACATAGGCATACCAAGGGAAAATCAGACAAAGCCAGTCCCAAACCCTAAGGGCAGTTTTGCAGCCCTGTGTCAGCATCTCGGACTTAAGACACATCTGGATCTAAAGGGACTAGGCCACTCTACCACTCCATATTTCCTCCTGTTTTTAACTCTTCTCTTCATATTTCTACGAATAGCTTTTTGTAACTATTACTTATTTTCCATGTTAGTTATCCTTAGTTTTTTGTTTTATTATAGCTTATTGTATCTCTCAGTTTATGTATATTCCTTTATTTTTACTTTTAATTTTTAAAAGAGGCCATTTCTCTTACAGCCAGCCTGGTCCACAAAGGATACATACTGAGAAAAGACATGGCACTATTATATCAATTTTTCTTTTCTGAGGACACATAAAGCCCTTGATTAAAGTTAAAAAAAAATTGTAATTGTTGAGAATTACATATGTATATTAAATAACCATTGTAAATCCCTTATCCTTTTAGTTCTCATTTTTGAAATACTCTGTATTCCTTAACTCTCTTTTGCTTAACTATTTTATGAAGAATCTAGGAAACTTAAAAATGCTTCACACTTGATAATTTTTCTTCTCTTTTCTTTTTTTTTTTCTTCTTTTTCTTTTTTGGTTACAGACAGGGTTTCTCTGTGTTTCTTTGGCCATCCTGGAACTCACTCTGCAGACCAGGCTGGCCTCAAACTCAGAGACATGCTTGCCTCTGCCTCCCGAGTGCTGGAATTACAGGGATGTGTGCCCCCTCCCCGATATTTTTATCCTTGATGCAGGAAGAAAGCAGAAGGAAAAATATTTATATCAAATAAATAGAGAGTAGTGCAGAGTTTTATATTTTGATAAAAATGTCACATTTTAATGTCCCTTTCTTGGGATATTTTATTGCTATTACTACTATTGGGAAAGTAGGTGTAGTTCTTGAATTCTTTGAGGTTTTATTTATTTTGGTAAAGCAGAAGGAAAGAAACGAACAATGTGGTTAATTTTATACATATTTCAATAGCTTGGAAATAACTGCATGTTTTCTTAACCATTTAAACTCCTAAAAGCAAGTTGGCATGCTATTAGTAATAAAGTTAAATTTAGGGATAATAAAATGTGTTTGTATAATTTCTTTCAGTCATCATTGAATTTTGAGAAGCATTCTGAAAATTTTTCATGGACAGAAAATCGTTATGATGTGAGTCGTCGACGACACAACTCTTCCGATGGCTTTGATTCTGGTATTGGACGTCCTAACGGAGGTAAAATTTGCTAAGGAATGATAGCATTGATAGAATTCATAATCTTTTTAGGATGTTTTGATTGCTATTCAGCCGTTAATTGTAACTGTCTTTGAATTTATATTACTTTACTGTTATCAAATAAAGGTAATTTTGGGAGGAAAGAAAAAAATGGATGGCGTACGCATGGCAGAAATGGTACAGAAAACATAAATCACCGAGGGGGATACCATGGTGGAAACCCCCGTTCTCGTAGCAGTATTTTCCACCCTGGAAAAAGCCAAGGACTGCATGAGAGCAGCACCCCGGACAACGAGCCTGGGAGGAGAGAAGACAGACGAGAGCGCAGGCAGTTTGAGGCCGAGGACTTCGTAAGTTTCTCACACTTCATGCACATGGCGTCCCTGCAAGTGCCATTTCAGGGTTTGCTGTTCACTTTTATATTAGTGCAGGGAATTTTCTGTAGTCATCCTAACTGCTGCTTGTCCAGTGGGGTGGTTTTGATTGAGTCGGGGTTTCATGCTTCAGCAGAGGTGGAATTGAACCCCAGTGTGAGTCACTATGCCTGGTTCTGTCTGCTTTATTTTAAACTGTTTTATAAGGAATGTGTAATTCCTTATAAATGTGTGTATGTATTACCTTTAATGTATGTGTGTGGTTGTATGTGTGTTGGTGCAGGCCACAGTGATTTTTTTGCCGCCTTTTGTTTTATGGAGACTGGGTCTCTATGTAGCTCTGTACTTCTGGAACTTGTTCTCTTCTAGAACTCCCAGTTCTAGAGAGGATTAAAAGGGGATTAAAAGGGGCAGAACTCATCCTGGATGCGTGCAGGATGGGCTTGGGGTCAAAATGGATTAAAAGGGGAATCCCCCTTTGTTTCCTGCTCCTATGATGTGAATTTTTCTGTTGCACAATGACTGTCTCATTCCCGTAAACTGAGCTTTCTGAAACTGTGCACACTAAACATTTCCTCCTTTCTGTTAATTTTCTAGGGCAAATGCAAACCTGGCAGTGGCGCACACCTTTAATCCCAATACTCGGGAGGCAGAGGCAGGCGGATCTCTGTGAGTTCAAGGCCAGCCTGGTCTACAAACAAAAAAAAACCCAGGCAATTATAATATTTTGCTGTGCAATTAATGAAAGAAAGCATAGAGTATGGCAAAGCATTATTCTTAGTACTAATATTTTGAGATGGGGTCTCCCCATGTAGTTCTTGCTTCCCTAGAACCCACAGCATAGACCAGACTGGCTTTGAACTCACAGTACCTGTCTCTCTACCTTCCCAAGTGCTGAGATTAAAAGCATGGGCCATTCCACACAACCTCCAGAGGATAACTCCAGGGATTTGGTTCCTTTTCTACAATGTGTGTCCAGGTGATAGAACTCAGCAGGCCTTTATCTCCTGGGCCATCTCCACTGGCCACTCAAAAGGGATCTTTTTGGTCACCAACTCTTCCTTAAAGCAGTTCCCTTTCTCCTAGTAGTCTCTGCCCACTTCTTCAAGAATCTTTTAGCATATTTATGTTGTTTTCACCCCATATAGGAAATTGAGTACTTTCCCTTAAAACTAGTAGCCTAATGAGTTTAATGGCTTATTTACAAGTGCGTTCCCCCCCACCTTCCCCCACTCTCTCTCAAAGGCACTTTGCTGATTGGTAGATTGAGACAAGGTTTCACTATGCTCCCCATGCTTTTTTTGAAGTTGCGTACCCATGTGATCCTCCTGAGTTTTTAATCTCAGTATGTGTGTCGTTACAGAAAAGTGACCCAGTAAAACCCCTTACTTTGGATTTTACAGTTGTGTTAAGGTCTTGTGTTGCCTAGACTGTCCGCAAACTTACAATGTAGCTGAGGATAGTCTTAGTTCCTGATCCCTGTCTTTACTTCCCAAGTGCTGGGTTTATATTGGTATAAACCACTGTGCTAGGCTCTGATTCATTGCTGATATTTTGTGCAAGTAGAGAATCAGCACTTCCTTTTTATGTTGTTATTATTTCTTACTATGTATTTGACTGGCTGTATTAGTCTATTGCTGTTCATGGCATGCAGAATATATAGTTTAATATGGCAGGCAGAATCTTGGGTTCTCATTGAGCTATCCTAGTGGAAAGACTCAACATGAAATGAAAAAGTAACTTGTTTTTGCAGAAAATTCAAAGAGGAAGTGACTGAGTAGTTTAGGGAAGTCAAGAGAGGCTTCTTTGTAACATTGAATCTGGGACTTAATTCATCAAAAGAACAAACCTTGTCAGCACTAAGAACTGGGAGTGTGTTGCTCAGAGCTAGGACATGTGCTTTTATATGTACAGTCCTGGGTTCATTTCTCAGCACCTCAAAAACTAAGACAAAACCTAGGGGCGGGGGGATACTATAAATTTTAGTTTCTAAATTACTCTAGTAATGCTTTGTGAACTTTGATAACCGGAGATAAGGTATTTGGCAATGTTAGGTTGTATTTCAGGTAGTTCAAGGGAAAGAATTTGACAGATTGGATTTAGGGAAGGAGAGTGGTTAAGAAAAAGGGGGAATAAACAATTTGTTTTAGGTGTTATTATCAAGTAATATTGGTCATTTCTTACCTTAACAGTAGAATGGTCTGTTTTTTACTTGAAAATTTGACTTACATAATCAAAATGGGGGTAATAGTGTACTCTCATGGAGCATTAACAGTAAGCTCTTTTAAAAAAAATATTTTTTAATTTTGGGATTATATTATTTCCCCGTTTCTTACTCCTATAAAAACTGCCCTCTTTTTCAGATGCATGACCTTTTACGCATGCATGATAAAAAAGAGGGAGAGAGAGAGAAACAGGGAGGGAGGGATCCTAGGTATATAAATACATATAATATTACCTGTATCATTAGTTTATCCAGTACTAAATGGTCATCCCTGACCGTATACATAGTAAGCTCTTAATAAAAACTAATGGCTGCCTGGTGTGGTGGCAGACACAGGCGGATCTCTGTGAGTTTGAGGCCAGCTAGGGATACAGAGCTTTGGAGGGGGTTTCATCACCCCCTCCAGAAAAAACCAAAAACAACAGCAAAAACAACAAACAAAAAACAACAAACAAAAAATAAAACCCACACCATCCTAATTGTTGCTATTTTATTGTCCCTCATCTCCAGTCCTAAGATAGTAGTAATCAGTTATTGTGACTTTGGACTTGGAATATACACACGCTCACATGTGCATACATATATATGTATATATACTATGTTATGTTTAAATTACACAGTTTATAATAGTACATCTCATACCATCATATAATTATGGAAAGCATATACAGCCAGCAAATAGGTTTAATTCTATTTATTTTGGAATTAGTTACATGGGTGTGCATATACTTATGGGGCTTTATAGTAATGTTAGTTTCATGCTAATAATAATTTATTTCTGTGCATAATTAAAGTACTTCGTGGATTTATTTTTTTCCCTATTAAGTATTAAGGGTCTTCCTTTTACAGGCTGTGTTGCCGGATAATACTGGTATACTCCAAAAGAAACTGTCCAGGGTCTAGAATTTAAACAAGATTAGCTTTTGAGTATCATTAGTGCTTATATCTCTCTAGAATAATCCTTAGCAACTTTTGAAATAAATTTCTTGCTTTGCTTTGGGACTGTGTGTTTCTGTTTCGAGATAGGGTTAATCAATGCAAGTTACAGAAAAAGTCAAATAACATATAGTACTATTTCTGTTGTTTCTTTGAGACAGGCTCTCACCAGACTGTCCTTAGTCTCATGTACTTGGGATGGCATTCCAAATTCTCTTGCTGCATCCTCCCTAGTGCTGAGAACGAGACTGCTAGCAGAAGCGCTCCATTGATACAGTACCTTATAGAATTGGTGAAGAGTCTAATTGTCATCTCTTTGGTCAAAACTGTATACTGCAGAAAGCATTATACTTCTGATTGGGGGTTTCGATTTGCTGCCATCTTTCTCTGCTTAGAACTACTTGACTAAAGCCATTGTTTCTTATCCTTTCTCAGTAGCAGCTACTATAGGGCCAGTCTTCCTTGGCTCTTGTCTTTTGGTGGGTAGTGTTAATTACTTAACTCCAGGCATGGCGTGTATTAGATCGGCACTTTACCACTATGCTGCATTCCTAGCCTGTGTGTACGTTTTTTCCATTGTAATCCAGATACTCTTCAGTTAGATGAAGGTCAAGAGTCTGTCTCCAACTAGCAGTGAGAATAAACAGACATTTTGATGGCTAGCAGAGAAAACTGAAAGCAAAGTTTATAGAGAACTAGTTATAACCAAGAGCCAATTGTACCTTGTTCCTCAGTGGAAAGATGTGTAAACATGTGATTGTTTTAAAGGACCTTTGATAATGTGAAACACTTGCAACGCCTTGTTACATATTTTCAATTTAATTTTCTTTCAGCCATCTTTAAATCCTGAATATGAGAGAGAACCAAATCAGAATAAATCTTTAGCTGCGGGTGTATGGGGTAAGTAATGTTTTTCCTATTTTTTTTTTTTTTTTTTTTTTTTTTTTTGAGGGGCAGAGTATTGTATTTGTAGGTTGCCTTTCAAAAAAAGTATAAAATAGGATATAGTAAAACTCTTTAATTGCATTTGATTTTCTAAGCTGCTTTAAAAGGAAGGAATTTAGGGCATACATTTGATTTGCAAAACTTAATTTATACATGCAAGTGACAGTAAGTATTGTTCTTTTTGAGAATGATTCTAGGTTACTGCAGTTTTGAGCAGCCTCAATAATTTTAAATAACTCAGTAGATTAAATTTTTAGTTTTTTTATAATTGAAATTTGGCTAACTGGGAACATAAGTACTTTTAGTCATTGTAACATGAAATTAATCTTCTGTATGAAAATGGTTATATATAGACTGTTACACTAATTATATAGCTTTTCCTTTGATCAGTTGATATTTGAAAGTATTTGATTTTTTTAAAGTTTAATGAAAGTTTCTGGTAAATAAACTCCCTTTAAAACTGTTGAGTTTAATTTGATAATATCTTACAGAAGAAATTGCACTCATAGTACAAATTAGAAAGCTGTTAAAAGATTTAAGTGAAGTTTAAAATAATGAAAATTTTATAATTCTGAAAAATAAACTTGAATTTGATACCAATTTAAAAGTGCTATCCATTTAAAAACTTGTACACATGTTCATTTGTAATTTTTTTAATTGAAAACCAACAACCTACTAAACAAAAGGATTGTGGCTTGCTTGCTAGTCCTAATGATAACAGCATTATTTTAAACTTTGCCACTTCCTGTGCTGGTCTTAATTGTATTTATGGGGTGAAATTGGGGAATTATTTTATTTTCTTTGGATCTCCCTTTTAATTTATTGGCTCTTGAGGGCGGGGGAGGGGGTGGTCAGACATTTTTTTTTTTGTTAGAACCATGTGAATGGCATTGTTTTTTCTGTATTGCAAATTAGTATTTCTACCACTCTCCCCAGGCCTACACGCCCAGACACACACATACCCAACCAAAAAAATCTCCCAAGCTCCTCTCTTAGGTATGTTTCCTTATTATTCAGTTTTTCTGGGAACAACTGATTGCATAAGAATATAGAATCTCCTGAAAAGTGTTAAATAAATAGAATCTCTAAGGAATTAGGGATGATTTGGATTTTAGTGGAATGAAAGTAAATTCTAAAAATCAAGAATGTCAGCATTTGTCATATAAACTATAAGATGCTAATGTGGTACTGTCCTTGGTTCACTCAATCTTAGAAATTATCAAAGACAAAGACAGTTGAAAACTAGACTAAAATGTGTTAGTATAAAGATTTGGTTCTGCTATTTCAGAGTTTATTTAAGGATTTTGAAAAAATATTTAAATGGGAGGTAAGCTATTTGTTTAGGTAAACTAAGATATGTGTCTGCATTAAAAACAAAAGAAAAGGTTAATTGTGGAATGGTTAATTGTTAAATTTCTAGTACTTCCCATAGGAATACAATGAAGCTCTTCATTGTATCACACTTCACTATTCCTTTCTCATTTTACCCCTGGGTTCCCAAGTATGCTTTCCTCATAGCAGCATTTAGAATAGCTATCTATCTTCCTGAGGACGAGGAGGACTGTAGCAAAGACTTCAGTAGAACTTTTCTAGTGACACTTCCAGGTAAGCAAAAAGTTTACTAACAAAGTTTAGTGGCGTTTAAAGGAAAAAAGTGTGCTCCCAAATCCCAACCTTGTCAACCATACATGGTCCTACTCTTAACATAATACTCCAGCTTAAAAAGAAACGTGAAGGAAATTAAGTCATTTAAAATAGTTACTGCTTAAGTTTGTTTTTAGTTAGGATTTAGCTGGCTTTATTGGGACTGCCTTCATCCAAGCTTTGTATACCTAGGACTTCCATACTGTTTTTGTCTTAACCAGGATCAAAGCTATTTGGTACAAAAGATTAATGTCTATTAAGTGATCTCTGTGTTTTCAACAACATAATGTTAAAATAGCAATTCAGGATACTTGGCAGTGTGTAACTGAGAATTTAAAAATTTTGTTGCTTTTTTATTTGAATATTGAAAAAGAGATGAGTGTTTATGTAAAAAATCAATGAGATAGTAGCTATTGATAGACTTGGAAATTCTCAGAAGTACTAATAGAGACTATGCTAGATGCATATCATCAACATTCTAACAGTGCTTAAGATATGAAGTGTTGGAAGAATGTTTTAATTAATATAGTCTTCTGGTCAGGGTTTATATTTGTTTGTATTTGATAGTCTGATGATCTTCTGGTTTTTGCTCATAGCTGATAGTGTTTTTTGTTTTTGTGTTTAAATAAGGTACATTATTAAAATATTTTTGTTTAGCCTTCTAAACCAAAGCATGTTAGTACCCAGTCCCCTACTGTCAACCCCCCACCCAATTTTTTGTTGGCTAGAGAACTGTAACATAGCTAGCTTGAACCAAACAGATTGAGAAATGAAATTGCACTAAATGAAGTATAATATACTGAAAACGAGGGAGGGACGTGCGTATGTATGTATGAATGAGAAACTGGATCAACAGTATTGTGGCAGATAGTTTTGCTTGAGTATTGAAATACATTCCTTCACTGTCTTGTATAAAAACAGTAAAAATAGTAGCATCATAAGAAAAGTGGAAGGCAACAGTTTTAAGACTGAGTAGGAGAAATTAATGGAGTATGAGTAAACAGCTTGAGGGAAATAAAAACTTGAGCTGGGGACATGACTTCCTTAGGTGGGTGTGGTGGTACACAATTATAATGCTAGTACCCAGGGAGCACAACCAGGAAGGATAAAATTGAAAAAGAAAGGCATTTCAGTTCACACCATAGGAGGAGTTTGTGTTTGCAAAGTGGCGCCCCCCCCCCCCCCCAATGCAGGTCTAGAACTTGAATTCTGGTCTTCCTGCCTTATTTGCCAAGGTCTGGAATTATAGGCATATGACATTACACATGGCTTGTAAAGTATCTTTAATCCTGTTCTTTATCAGAATAAAGCTGGAGACCTCATAAAGGAAAGGAAGGCGCTGTGGCTGTTGATAGGAATGTAAAGTTAACATTGTTAACTTACTTGACTACCCCAAATTACTTAAATAACAAAATTCAGTGTCTGATTTTTTTTTTTCTTTGATTTTTTTTTTTTTTTTTAAATGAAATAACTTTTAGCACATTGGGTAACTGAAAACTATATAGTGAAAGACAGAAAAAAGAGATTGAATCAGTGAATGAAGGTGTTCAAGCTCTGTAGCCAGGTTGTCATACAATCTTCAATCTTCCTACATGTCCTTTTATTATTTGTAGCATTATTCTAATTTTTCTCTGAAAAATCAAGCCAGTATTCACCCTACCAGTAACTTTGATTTTAAGAAATTTAAAAACTATTTCTTGTATTTTAGGTAGACATAGGGGAAAAGGCATTCACAACAAGACAGCAATGAAAAGTCATTTATTGTAAAATGAGTTACTTTGGAGCCTAGAAGAACATAGTCTTGAATGGAGTTAATTAACAATTAATGAAAGATCTTAGATGGTATTTGAAATCTAAAAACTTAATTACTTACAAAGATGTATAAGAATTTAGAAATAACCTGAAGAGACAAATGATAAAACCCGTATAAAATGAATGTAAATAAAGGAGGCGTATAACTTACTTTGGCTGTTACTCATTCCATCAGTTATAGGTCATTATTGCAATAAGAAAGAGCACCCCTGTCTCTGTGGGACTATTTGACACAGGGTCTTACTTTGTAGCATGGCTTGGCCCAAACTTGGCCACTGAGGCCGGAAGAGAATGTTGGGCTTCCACATTATTTGGTTGAGATGTGTTGTATCTCACAAACGGAGCAAAGCTGGCGTTCAGTGAAAACCGGTAGTTCTCCTAGCTCTGCTCTCCACAGTGCTGGGGCCACAGGCACAAATGGGGCCGCACTGGCTTTTATGTAGGGGTTAGGGGGTTGAACTTTGGTCTTTTGGTTGCACAGTGACATGCTGGCCCACTGAGTCTATCTCTCCAATTCCTGAGAAAACTTCTTAAAAAATTGTATTAATTACTTTGTGGTTTCATGTTAACAAATGGCAGTAGCATGTGTGTAGAGGTCAGGGACAACTTGCGAAGTTACTTTGTTCTTTCCAACATGAGGATCCTTGGGGATTGAACTCAGTTTGTCAGGTGTGGTGACAAGTGTCCTTACCTGCTTAGCCATCTCACTGGCCTCAAAATTTTCTTAACTGGGCAACCTTTGTATAGTTTATTGAGTATAGCTTTATAGGATATACTGGTCTTTACAGGTTTCTCTTATTTTTTTCCTCTTACATGTTAATGTTGACTTCCAGGAAAAGCATACATTTTTGAGTTGTTACTGTGTTGAAAATAGCATATGCCTTTTTTATATATATTGAATAAGTTATTTAAATATCAAATTTATAATGATTATGAGAGAAGACAGCATTTTATAAGTGAAAAAAAAAACCAACTTCTATAAAGTTGTGCAATAAGTAAGGCTAGAGCTACTTGGAAGTTAGTATTAGTTTGACAATCATGCACAAAATCCTAATTTCCTGAATCACGATACTTTAAATGCTTGAAGCATGGCACGATATTTGCTTCTCTTCACTCTAATTCCCTGTCATCTTTCTTTTGGTACTTTGGTCATCTCTTTTGCTCCTTACTCTTCTGAGAGTGATTTCTTAGGCTTCACCTTTCTTCTTTATAGGGCATTCCATCATTCTTTGCACTGAAGACTTCATTGAAGAAACAACCAGAGTATTTCTTGCTTCAAGGAATCCAATTTTAGGAAAGGTGAAATTTGTAGTCAGAATCTACTTGAGGCTCAAAGAAACAAATAAGTGTCTTCTCTGCCTCCTACTGTTCTATACCACATGCCCTTTTCCAGTTGGGTCTCATCAGTATGTGCATGCTCCCATCTCAAGTTTTCAGGCATGCATCACCATACATACCTAGTTTCTACTTCTAAAATTCAGAGTTTAATGTATAAAAAAATTATATTCTTCATATCTCTTCAACCTGTGTCAAACCCATTTTCCTGCTGTTCAAATACGTAGAATAGATTGTGAGTTATATAATTTTGCTTGGGAAAAACTTTTCTTCTTCTACCATATCTTGATGTTTTAATTTCTTTAATTGTTTCTGAGAGTCTACGGGGCAGATTAGATCATTCTCAGCTGTTAGCGTTTCTCTGTGCACATTCTAAACTGAAACTTTTCCTTTTATATCTTCATCTGGCAATGTATATTGATCACTCCATTTCTGAGAACTCTACTTCTACACATGTTATTTGGTTTCCTCCTCCATTACAATAACTTAATATAGAAGAATCTATGAGGGTTGCTTAGCCATCAGAAGTCATCAGTCATTTAATTGTGTTATACTGATGAAATGTTCCTGTTTCAAAGCCTGATGTCTGCAATTATATCTTAAAGTTATTTTATTACCTTTTGTGTTATGCCTCAGATTCCTTGATGTTATTTAAAGGCTAAGACATGTCTTATATTCATTTTTAAGTCCCCCTTACTCTATTGAAAACACTGAATCCTAACCACTGTGTTACCAGGGATTTTTTTCCCCTGTTGTGAGATGAGATCATACTGTGTTCCTGGAGAGTTTTGGTCCTCCTCGGCACAGGCAATCTCTCTCATCCATCCATCCATCCATCCATCCATCCATCCATCCATCCATCCATCCATCCACCCACCCACCCACCCCATCCTCTCATCCTCCCATTCAGTGTTGGGACTATAGTGCCATTATGTATGGCTCCGAGAACTTTTTGTGAGGAGGAATCACGTAGGGTTTCAGTTTTAGCACAATCAGGCCTCAAAACTCACTATCTTCCTGTCATGTCTACTTAAGAGCTCTTAACTATTATATTTGTACTAAAATCCATTAAAAGTTCTAGTGTCCTTCATTGTTCTCTATTTTAGATCTTCATTCCTACTTTGGTTTACTTGACTTCAAGGTATAATATCTTCATTAACACTATACATTGATGACATACTTTGCTTTGTTCTTGTGTGCTTGAAGTTTTATTTTTTAAGCTATTAGGCCTAATTTTAGATAACCAAATCATGGCATATTTCCCTAGTAACTCAATACATACTTAGTTTTGGTATGGTAACCATGTTTTCATTTTGTTGTGAGTCCTTATTCTTTTACTGTAAGCATGGCAGTTTTATGTTTTGGAGAGTTTGATGTCTTAGATGAGAACTGAGTCTTTCCAGGGTTCCCTAGGAGTAGTTATAGTTTTGTTAAAATGTTCTAGCAGGAAGGTGGTAGTTTGCAGCTCCAGGGTATCAGCACATACATCTAGCCAGCTTATCAATTCATAAAGTATGCCACTAATATACTGAGCTAATTTAAATTTAGATTTTTTTTCCTAGAGATTTTTGATCTGAGTTAATTATTATAAACTTTCTAATTATGTAACTGATGCTTTCAAAATTTTTTGTAAGGGATGAAGGATAGACTTCATTGGGACAATGATGAGCATAAATACAAATGAATTAAATTCTGGGGAAAGTGCTTCATATTTGTAGCAAGTATAATAGTCTTCAAAATGTCTTCATTTAGCAGTTATTCCCAGGACTGGCTGTAGAAAATTGATTGAGTTGGTTGTCCTGACCTCACATGGTGCCTTAAGTTATAATTATAGAGACTGTAAATATTTGAATGTATAATATTCAATAAAATAGACATTTGGAAGTATTGGGATTGTGGGTCCTTGCTCAATGATTGCAAATTGTTTATTATATTGAAAGTATTGAAAAAGAAGAAGACATTTATACTTTTTAAAGACTCGCTTAAGTGGGAAACTAGAACTGTCAGATTGGAATGAAAATATTTTAAAGTGAAAAAATTGTATAGATTTTAATTCTTGTTTTCCAGTTATATATGTTTTAGCCTGTTGTCATCTGTATTAGGAGGCATTGCCCAAATTCTTATTATATTTTAGATTTATTTCTTAAGCTGGAATTTGGCTTTACTCAGATTATTTCACCCCAAACCAGTTGATAAATACAGTTAAGGTTTTTGGGGGTTGTTTATCCTAAAATTTGTAATTGTATGTAACATATATTTGTGCTTTATTTGTATGCAGAATATCCCCCGAATCCTAAATCTAGAGCTCCAAGAATGCTGGTCATTAAGAAAGGTAATACAAAAGACTTACAGCTATCTGGATTCCCAGTGGCAGGAAACCTTCAGTCACAGCCAGTTAAGAATGGAACTGGTCCAAGTGTTTATAAAGGCTTAATCCCCAAACCTGCTGTTCCACCAACAAAAGTAAGTTCTTGCATTTAAGCCAAATTTGTTACAGATGCCCACGGGTGAAGTGGCACCCACAGTCTGCTATATTCTACACACACACAATTTTTTTTGTTCCTCTGTATTTTAGGAGTAAATAATTTTTATAATTTTTGCTCTATTGGATGTACTAGGATTTGTTTGCTTGGCACATGTATTAAACTGTTTGTTTGGTGCTGGGTTTTAAGTTTTAAAATGCTCATGAGTTTTATTATAAGACAAAAAGAATCCCCTAAATTTTGAAAGTAACAGTGATCTAGATTTACAAAGTTACTGTGTTGTATGTGCAGGAGGAGGCCAGAGGACAACTCCTGGGGTCTCCTGCCTGTAGGTTTGGAGGCAGATGCCCTCATTCACGGAGCCATCTTATCTTGCCAGTCTCCTTTATCGTCATCAGCATGGTCATGGTCGTCGTCATCAGCATGCCATTGTTTAGTGTTGAGATAGGGTCTCTGTGAAACTGTAGCTATGTAGACTTGCTGTGTAGAGCAGCCTGGCCTCAAATGTACAGAGACCCACTTGTTTCTGCCTCCAGAGCGCTGGGGTTAAAGGCATGTGCCAACACACCTGGGTTCCGTTTATTATTTTTAAATGTTTGAATGTGTGGGTGTGCAGGAGCCTGAAAAGACTAGAGGTTTTACAGGTGACTGTGAGCCAGCTGACTTTGCTGTTTGGGAGCTGAACTTGGATTGTCTGCAAGAGCTGTTGAGCCATCTCTTCAGCCCCAGATTTAGTGTTTTTTATTGTATATGAAACCTCTATTCTATTTGAATGAAGAGAAGATGCACAGGGCCATATGTTGTGGTTCACACCTGCAGTCCTAACACTGAGGGGCTTGATAAGGAGGATAGTAAGTTCTAGGCCAGCTCCTAGGCTGTATAAATAAATACTGTCTCTCCAAAACAACAACAAAGAAAAAACCAGTAACAAAAGTTATGAAGGTCAAAGAACCATGGGGGAGATCATGAAATAGTATAAAATAACTTTTATGAGCCATATGTAATCATTGTTTAGTATGTTCACTTATTCTTTGTTTTTGCTTCTTGTGTTTTTCTTTAGCCTACACAATGGAAAAGCCAAACTAAAGAAAACAAAGTTGGAACTTCTTTTCCTCATGATTCTGCATACGGTGTTGGCAACTTTAATACCTTTAAGTCAACAGCCAAGAGTATTAGTCCATCAACAAATTCAGTGAAAGAGGTATGCTACTGAACATTTCTTGAGGAATGTAACACATACCCACCCCCACCCCACAACAGTGTTTCACTGTTTAGCCCTGACCTTTTAGCTTCTTGATTTATGGCTGTGATACCCACCTGACAAACCCTGATAGTATAACAATGTTTTAAATATACAGCTTCATTAAAGATGAGATGCTACAGTTTTTTTCAGTGAATTTAATTCAAACACATGTTAAAATAATTGCGGTTTATTTGATGTTTGTGGGAGATTCACTATAAGATTAAACCTTGGCCTTGAGTGAGGATTTGTACAGTCTTGTGGGAGTGATGGGATATTTTATTAGTAAGAGTAAACTAGAGAAGAGGAAGGAAAGGTATGTGTGATTATGTGGTAGCTCTAATAGTTTTATTTTTGAAACTCTGAGTATGGAGGTTCTTGAGTAATCTAGGATCAAATATTGTTGGACTAAAAATTGTTTTAGGTCCCATATTAGTATTTGAAAACCAATTTTTATGTCCTCACCTGCAGAATTATTGAGTTAAAAATAGAACCAGTATTTATAAATGGTTTGTTCTCTAGTTAATTCTGATACATACTTTAATGTCAGCAATTAAGCCTTTATAATATATTTCTGTGAACTAAAAAATTATCAGCGAGTTTTAGCATTCAGATAGTTTCTTATCTACTACTTAAACATCAAGAAAAAACAAAATGAAAAGTCAGTATCATTTTCCCCTTCCTCACAGAAATCGCTGGGGTAATCCAATGCAAAGACATTCTATTTGCAGAAATGACTACAAAATTTTATTGGGGGTGTTTCAGAACCCTAGGACTCCGTTGCATGGCTAGAAAAAAATTTTTTTAATGTGCTGTGTAAATATTTAAAATTAGTATTATCCTGATTTTAAGTTTTATGTTTTAAGTTCTGTTTGTTATCTGAACTTCATTAGTTCTGGAATAAGAATGTTTTTTGAGCTAACCCATTTAATGATAAAGAAAAAGATGCTGGGCATTGGTGGCACACCTTTAATCCCAGCATTCGGGAGGCAGAGGCAGGCAGATCTCTGTGAGTTCAAGGCCAGCCTGGTCTACAGAGTGAGTTCCAGGACAGGCTCCAAAAAAATACAGAGAAACCCTGCTTGGACGCACGCACGCACGCACGCACGCACGCACGCACGCACGCACGCACGCACTTATTGTGAACTGTAGTTTGGAATCAGTTCCACCTTTGAAAAGTATGAAAAAATGTGATAATTGTGAGCTTTCTTTTGACATTATCTAGTTACATGATGACTGGTATTTCTGTATTTTCCATTAGTGTAATCGTTCAAATTCTTCCTCGCCTGTTGACAAACTTAATCAGCAGCCTCGTTTAACTAAACTGACACGCATGCGCAGTGACAAGAAGAGCGAATTTTTGAAAGCATTGAAAAGGGACAGAGTAGAAGAAGAACACGAAGATGAAAGCCACGCTGGCTCTGAGAAGGTAATTGAAATTGCAGTGATGGCTTGTTTTTATTTGATGTTAACATATTTTTAAACAGTGGGTAGATATTTAGAACTTTAATAAGAGATTCCCTCTCTATTGATGATCTTCATGGTTTCTTCCCCTTTCTCTTGAGACTTGTTGGTGGCCTCCATCCTTAGGGGTCCCCTTATATCCACACAGTTGGAAGTAAGTCCTCTAGAAACCTATTTTGGAATTGCAGTTAAAAAGTAATCTCCCTATAAAGAACGCTAGCTAGCTTTTTTTCTTCATTTTGTATTCTTCATTTTCTATGCAAAAATACATGGATTTTGTTGTTTTGTCTTTTTGGGGGCTTGAGGGGGGGAGAATAAGGTCTTAAATAGTTTAGGCAAAAATGTAAGTTATGATCCCTTGTCTTCCTGTCACAGTCAGATACTTCTTTTTAAGCCTTTTCTGGGCACTGTGGTACGTGCCGATAGTTCCAGTACTTTGTAGATTGTAGCAGTAGGATTGACTGATGGGAGATGGAGTCAGCAGGGACTATAGCTGCATAATTTTATACTTTTTTCTTTTCCTTTGTCTTTATCTTTTTGGCCTCATGTATTTTTGTGAGAATGCTTTTGAAATTTAATGATGAATATTGTAGATTTATGTATTTTTCATGAGAATCTAGATAGGTTCTGTCAGTAAACTGTTCTTTAGAACTCTTTATTTTTTAAACTCCTTAAAAATCAGGACGACGACTCATTTAATTTGCATAACAGCAATAGTGCTCACCAAGAAAGAGATATAAACAGAAACTTTGATGAAAATGAAATTCCACAGGAGAATGGCAATGCTTCGGTGATTTCTCAACAGATCATTCGTTCGTCAACTTTTCCACAGACTGATGTCCTTTCCAGTTCACTCGAGGCAGAGCACAGGTTAGTGATTGCTTTTACTTTTCAACTGGCATTATATTTGTTCAGAGTTTTCACATTTAAGTAATTGGTAGACTCATGTTTTTGATACTAGGTACTGGATCTAGGTTCTCACTTGTTTTTCCTGTTTTTGATACTGGGTCATACCATGTATGTAGGCCAGGCTGGTCTTGAACTGTGCCTGACACTGCCTCCTGAGTACTGGCATTAAAGGTGTGTGCCACCATAACTAGCCCTAATTTGTTTGCTTTTCACATGTTTATTAAAAATAAGTTTGACCCATTTTTAAATGGGTAGACAGTTATGATTGCATTTATAGTTGTATTTCCATTGTGGTTTAATCATTTCACACTGATTATATAATCACTGATCTGTTTTCTATATTGGTTTGACTTAGGATTGATTATATCCCTGCTCTTTCATGCTGGCTTTGATTAAGCTTATTATCATTTTTGTTTTAGGGTAGGTCAGTACCTTGTCCCTTTATTTATTGCTCAGTAGTATAGTGTATGGCTGCACAACTTCAATTCATTTTTAAGATTTATGTGTTAAGTGTTTGCTTACGTTTCTGCCTGCACCACCGTGTGTACAGAAGGGGACATTGTATGCCCTGGGATTGGACTAAGAGTCTCCACTTAAGTATAAACAAAGTATACATTTACAAACATTCATGTAGAAGGGCTTTTTTGGGTGTGTGTGTGGGCGCGTGCACGAGCATTTACGAGCATTTAGTAAACATTAAGTAACCGCACGAGCATTTAGTAAACATTAAGTAAATAATTCTTTGTTAGGGATACTTACTACTTTTGTCAACTCATTAGATTATACATAAAGAAATGAAAATAATGACTAGCGCACATTGAGATATATGAACTACATTATTCATAGGAAGATTGATGGTAGATTCTATGTAAATACTGTTGATAGCAGAATATGCACATCCTAGATAGCACAGGATAGAAATTTATAAAAATAAGTCCATTTAGTTATTAATGTGGGACAGTCTTTGCATGGGTGCAAGTTACATGTGAAGGGCAAATGTAAAGTGCCCTTTTGGATTAATTAAAACTTCATATTTGTTTGGATGTATGTGTGTTCACGTACAGAAATAATAAATGTATATATGCATAGGCGGGGCTTCTTTGTTTTTTTTTTATTAAAAAGATTATATGTACTCTATGCTTTTCATTGACTTCATTTCTGTTTCACAGAGGAGCCAAGTCAGTCAATTGTATAGTTAACATTTAAATCTAGGAAATCTAAACCTAGAGCAAATAAATTATGGTCATTCTTAACCTCTCTTTGTGGGGAGTTGGGAATTGAACCTGCCATCCTAGGCAAGCTTTCAACTGCGGAGTCCTATATCACAAGCCCATAAAATACTGCGTTCTCTAAGCTCACAAAGTTATATTTAAATTTCCTTTGTTGCTTTAGATTTCAGTTTTAATATGTGAAAAAAGATTTCATAGCTTAAATTTTTTTACTTAATCTTCTTTGCATTTCATAAGTACATATAACCTTAAAGAAGATGCATTTTAATATTAATCATGTATATCTTAAGAATACTTGTTCCTGTCTCCATTTTCTTTTATTGTTGTTGATTTGACACAAAGCATCACAATGTTTTGTCAGTTCTTATAAGAAAAAGAAAGAAAAATGGTCATAGCAAAAGCAGTTAAGTTTTATTAGTCTTAGTTTATGAGCTTTGGTGATACCAAATGATTAGGATAAGTAGAAATGCCATTTCTAAGGGCAGCCATCTATGTTATAGTCAAGACAGTGTGCTAGATGAGCCACTGAATAGAGATCAATGAATTAATTAATGCTGACTGAACTATTGTTTTTAAGGTTAACAGTTCAATGAGAAACATAATAATTCTGGAGGCAGAATATTAAAATTCTTATTCTCTTTAGCTGCAAAATAAGCACATTGTTTTACCTAAATGACCCTAATTCTTCCTCTGTAAAATATGAGTAGTATGTTAGATATTTTTCAGGGTTCATGAGTACTATTCTTTGTTTTTAAAAAAAAATTAAATTTGTTAAAGATAATCAAAGCTACTGCTTTATGTGCAGCATGCTTGTCCAACAAATCAAAATGCTTAGCTCTCTGTAATTTTTCATTACATATAGTTCTACATTGAATTGGATTGCATTTTCCTGTTATTATAGAACATAATGCCTCTTCAGATTGAATTGTATACTGAGGATAGTTTTCTACCAACTTACTGGTAGAAGAATAAATTATAAAATACAAGACAGGGCAAGCTTTTGCAGCCTTTCCTTTCTAAGTAGAAAAACCTAATGAGAAGTCAAGAATATGTTGGATTGTGATGGTATTTAAAAAAAAAAAAAAAAGGCAAAAATAGCATTGTTACTACTTTTAGTACAAGGATTTGCCATGTTCTTTTAGTCTTCATAAGTTTCCAGCATAGATAACCTTGACCCTGAAGATTAAGCAGTGAAGCAGTTCATTTTTATACCAAATAGGGTTTACTTAATTACTCATTTTTAAAAAAATATGCCCAGAAGTTCCTTTGTATCTTGAGGTCTGTGGATCATGTTTTCCTGTCCATGATATAAAGGGAATGATTGCATTGCCCAGATGAAGCTGTAAGTTGAATTTACGTCCCTTCTTTTCAGACTATTAAAGGAGATGGGCTGGCAGGAAGACAGCGAAAACGATGAGACGTGCGCTCCCTTGACTGAGGACGAGATGAGGGAGTTCCAGGTTATTAGTGAACAGGTAAGGGGACGACTAAGCTACAGGTTAGACACTGGCGGCAGGGGCGGCCTAATGATTTCACTTGTTCAGGAATTTACTAGCCATCTTACATACCACAGGCCAAATTCCCTTCGAGACAAGTCTGTAATGACTGTGTATTCAGTGTCTAGGTGAAGGAAATACTTAAGTTTTTGTTATCCAGATTGTAATTTGGTTATTGATTTGACATGGGTGACAAGTTTTAATTAACTTTGGCTTTTGATCCTTTAAAAAGAACATTTAATATTCTAAACCATCTTGTTTTAGGTCTGTATACTTTCCTTTCTGAAAGAGTACTAGGAAATATTTGATACAGCATCATTCAATTATTTTTCTAAATCTATTATAGACTTTAAAAACTAGTTCTGGTAAAAGTAAAATTTGTATTAAAACCATTTAAACCACATAAAATTTACTAATTTAACCATTTCTCCTACCCCTCACATTCAGACTAGTGGGTTAAATGCATTCATATTGTTTGACAACCGTTACCTCAATCCATCTCCTCAAGGGGAGTAGGGGGAGGAAGGAAGGATGGGTGTGTGCCACGGGCACGCGCGTGTACGGGTGTGTGTTCGTTCCCAAACATTAACCTAGTACCACTAAATGATAACTTTCTGATTCTCTAGCTATAGAAACTACCATTCTGGTATCTGCCTGTATGAACATGATGGTTTTCCATGCCTCATATCAATGTAATCATATACTATGCCTTTTTGTGATGGCCTTACTTCTCCTGGCATTATGACAGAGATATATATCTCTCTCTGAGATGAGCCTGAATAGTGTTTCATTACTAATGCTGCTATGAAAGTAAATGTAGACGTTTCTGATTTCAATTTGGGGTTGTACGTATCCTTAGTAGAATTGATACTGAACAAAAGTTGTGTTCAGGCGGTGATAGCTCAGCAGGTCAGCGCACTTAACACCAAACTTGACAAGCTGACTTTGACCCTGAAAACCCACTTGGTGCAGTGCTGGAGGGATGCTCGGCAGTTAAGAGCACTGGCTGTTCTTCCATAGGACCTGGGTACAAGTTTTAGCACCCACAAGGCAACTCTCAACTTTCTATAACTCCAGTTGCAGGAGATCTGGCATCCTCACACAGATAAACACGCAGGCAAAACACCACACAAAGCAAATCTTACACGTTGAAAATAAATGCCTAAAAATGAAGTTTGATAGTCGAGCGAGTGTGTCCTTTTTGTATGATGGAGTGGTGGTGTTACCCTTTGGGTGTGTATGCCTGAGAGTGGCGTAGCTATGAAGCGAGCAAGCTGTGTTACTTAAATGACCTAACTCTTCCTCTGTAAAATACGAATAGCATGTTAGATACTTTTCAGGACAAATACATTCTTTGAGACTTTGGAAAAAAATGTTTGAAATTGGTAACACGTGGCACAGGCAAAAGAGTCAGTACAGCACGTGTACAGGTTCCTTGTTTGTCCCTTAAGTTTGTGGGACCTCTGTGAGCCTGGGGTGTGTGTGCTGTGTTCTTGTAGTGTCCTCATCCCCTCTAGCTCCCACCACTCTTCCTCTTCTGCAAGGTTCCCCTGGCTCTGCCTGATGTTTGCCTTTGGGTGTCTGCATCTGAAACCCTTGGATGACCATTGGGCTAGTACAGATCCATGCCTCGTTAGGAATTACTTCACTGCAGACCGCCCCATCCCTCCCTCCCTGCATGCATGCATGTCTGTTTGGTTCTGTCTATCCTGGGTCTCTCTGGGCTGCTGTTGTTCCCCAGTGTTGGAGGTGAGCTCCCTCTTGTGGCTTGGTTCTCAAGTTGGACTAGACACAGGTTAGTCACACGCACAAGTTCTACACCCACCCTTGCCCCAGAACTTCTTTCAGGGTGGACAGATTGTAGCGTTTAGATGTTAGTGTTTAGATTTTTCTGTCTATAATAGTGTACAGTAATGATTCAATTTGATGTGGAGGCAGCACACTTGAATGTGATCCTCAGGACCCTTTGGAAGGAGAGAACCAAACCCATTCTTGCAGGTTGTCTTTGACCTACACATGCATACACACTTCACTCTAATAAACAGATACACAAAGGGCTTTCTTTCAAGGCTCTCCATTTCTTTGGTCATTTTCCTTTTAAGATAGCACTGGCTGCCCTTTGCTCTGTAGCCAGGTCCCTCAGATGTGCTAGGTCAATAGCTGACCTGGTCTACCGTGCCTGCCTAGTTCATGTGGTGCTGGGGATCGTTAGGTAGCGTTGGCCAGACGTACTTTACTGTTTTGATTACTGTGTTTTTGTGGTAAGTTTCCTGGAGAGTCAGGAAGTATGGCCCTCTGATTTTGTTCTAAACAATTGTTTTGTAGTTCCTTTTTATATTTATTCCGTTTACGTTTTAATACGGAATTTTCTTTTGTCTTTATCTTAAAGCCTTTTATATTAATGTATATTAATTGAATAATGCTTTCATTGTGAGATTTTATACATGAGTGTAGAGAATTTGATCATATCCTTTATCCTCATCTCTTTTCTTGTCTACTCTTTTTTTTTTTTTTAACTAGAAGATTATTCCTCCCCACCCCCCAAACAAATGCTATTGTTATTTCAAACGGGATTGCATTTTATCTGTAAATCATTTGGGGTAATATTAGCATCTTAGCAGTATTAAATCTTCCAAACCATAAGCACGAGATGGATATTTTTCTATTGGTGTGGGTTTGTCTGTAACAGCTCCTGGAACTCGCTCTGTAGACCAGGTTGGCCTCAAACCACTGTCTCTGCCTCTCTGGGGGTTAAAGGTGTGCGCCACCACTGCCCAGAAATGCAGTGTTTTCTTTTTGAGTTGTTATCAGTGTTCATTATCTTAGAAACAGCTGACTTTTCATGTTGGTTTCTGTGTACTATAACCTTGGTATATATTAAATTCACAATGGTTTTTTGGTGGCTTGGAGTAGTGTTGTGGGGATTTTGTTTTTAGCAATTATTTTTACTATTTATTTCTTCGCTCCCAGTTTTTTTTTTTTTTTTTGTTTTTTTTTTTTTAAAGTTCAAACTTTTTTAGTGCACCATTGTTTCAACGAGTTGGTGGCTGTAGATAATAGTAGTTTTGAAAGACTTACTTTTTTTGTTGGGCACGTGCATAATTTATATATAACATTTCACCTTAAATGGTTAAATTATGTTTTACTCAGTTGTATAAACTGGTTATAATTGAGAAGTTTTTCATTTGCCTTTGTATTCATTGGTCTTTACTCCCAATTCTGACCCTGGCGACCATTTTCCAATCTGCTGTCTGTCCTTAGGAATTAGCTTTATTGGAGTAGTACATGCTGTTAAGCAAGTGCTCTACCACTAAGCTGTCCCCAGCTTGAATGACTTATTTTGAGTTTAAAGAAGTGTCATTCAAAAAATTCTGAGCACCATTGCTATAACATCATTCCAAGGAACAGTGTATACATTAACAAGATAATAGACTTTAAAAGCATGCGATAATTGAGGCATATAGCTAAAACCTTATTGTTACTAAAATACCTGTCACAAAACTGTAAATTGGAAACTAGTGGCATACATAAGATCTGTTATATTTTTTTGAAGTGATGAAGGCATGGATACATTTATATTGAGTGTTATAAAACACTTGATATTTAGTTAACAAAACAAAAAAAAACATTAAAGATATTTTTAAAAGGGTTTCCATTGTACCTGGTAACAAATAACAAATTGGATATTACTGGTTCTGCTTTTAAATTCTACCTCTCCAGCAAACATGCACTGAGTGTTTAGATATGCGCACATATCCAGAGTTGAATCTTCTTCCTAGCTAGCAGTTTAGTGAGAGTATATAAGTTCTGCTATAAAGCAGATTGTAGTAATAATAATTCTAAATGTTTCAGGTGAGTACCAGAGATGGAATGAGAAATGCAAAATTAAGAATTTTCTCTTAGAATTTACTCCCTAGTGGTTAATGTGGAGGTAATAACTAAGGAAAATTTGATTAAGGACATGGATTTAAATTGGCCTTTGACAGGTAGGATGAAAGAATGATGTTGTTGGAACAAGTTGTAAATCAGGCAAAAGAAAGAGATTTTGCTCAGGGTCATAGTAGCAGGAAGAATTGGGTGGAAAGCTTTTAAAGGTCTTGAGTTAAAGTTGGACTCCACAATGTATTGTTAACATTGGCTCATAATTCCTACTAAGTACCATGTTAAATGCTTTCTTAACCATTGTATGATGTAGGTTTATTAATACTGCTGAATAGACGAGAAAACGACAGTTTCTATAATACAGTTGATGAGTAGAGCATTTAGAATTTGAGCCCAAGTTTTGCTGTATTGTTTCCTAACTTTTAATCATGGTAAAGGGGTATGTTGAAGAAAGTTACACTGAAGTCTGAATATGTCTTGTCTTTTATTTTTAAAGATAAGAGGCACTCTTAAAAGTGTACATTGTAGGTATATTTCTTAAGAATAGACTTGTGATGATAAATTGGGAGTATGTAGCAGCAGTTAGTATTGCAGTGTACACTGGAGAAAAGTTAGATAAAGAGTTTTCGAGAATAAAATATTTGAAATACAATCATTAAGATTTTGAAACACCTGAATGTGATAGCATATTTATTATAAGTAGTGTAGAAGGAGAGAAAAGCTGATTTTAAGAAAATCCTTAATATTTAAAGTTAGATGTTCCCGAGGATTGCAGAGGCTTATAGACAGTTTAAGGAATAAAGGCATACATTTGGAATGTTTTCAAAGTATGGGTTTTATTTTTCCTTTTTGTTTGCTTTGGTTTTGTGACAGGTTTGCTGTGTAGCCACACTGGCTTAGAACTCTTCTATGTAGCTTAGGGATCACCTTGACCTTAAGATAGTCATGCCTGTCATGTGTTGGGATTAACAGATATAGGCCACCATGCCCAACTAAGACTAGATTAATTCTATTAGGAAATATTTTGTTATAATAATTGGTTAATTAAGCATGACTATTGAAATAGCTTATTTTGGGGCCATAATATAATTTTATCTGGAATTTTAGTGGTAAAAAACCAGTGAATTTTATTATAAATCGTGGTTTTGCTTATTATAATATTAACTGCTTGTTTTTTGACATTTTAGTTACAGAAGAATGGGCTGAGGAAAAATGGTATTTTGAAAAATGGCCTGATCTGTGACTTGAAGTTTGGACCCTGGAAAAACAGCACTTTCAAACCCACCATTGAGAATGAGGACACAGAGACAAGTAGCAGTGACACATCAGATGACGACGATGTGTGAAGGGTTTCCTAACCGCGTTAGAAACTTTAGTGTGACACATCTCTCATGCAGTTTGGGGTGAAATGTAAAAATGAAGAACTATAATTTATGTAGTGAACTACCCCATTAGAAGATGATTTTTTTGGGGGACTTCAATATGAAGAAAACCAAGAATGTTGTGTTGGGCTGTGTTGAACATTGTTTCTTTGTAAATGAATGTTGTAGAAATGAGGACTTTGGTTGATCCAACATTGACTTTCTTCATCACTGCAGCATTTCTCTGACTAGCAATGTGACGATGTAACAAATGAGATTTTCTCATTTAATAATAAAAAATTGTGTAATGTTTTGCAAAGCTTCTGTCTTAAAATGTTCAGGTCTTAAGGTAAAAGGCAGCTTACAGTTTTGCTTGCAGAGTCATATCTTTTTCAAACAGTGGAAATCTTCAACTCTACCTTGTGCACCTCCTCACCCCACTTCCCCCTCAAACAAGACAAAACCGCAAAAAGGAAAATGTAGCATGTTGGCTAAAACTAGAGCAAAGTACACCAAAACATTAACTTCTTGAACTCAAGTCTTGTATTATGTCACCTATCAGAAATGGCTCTTTAGCTGTGCATAGTGCAGTGATCTGAGAGGGGACATGCCGGGTGTTTCTCCCAGCTTTAGGAGGCGCTTGTCCAGAGCTTTATTTGGTGTATTGTCAGATCAGGATTTTCAGAGCTGATTGGAAGAGGTGTGGGGAACTTATTTTGATAAATTATTACACATGCAGAAAACCTGATCACACTGACTGGATCTGTCCACGACATGGAAAATAAACTGGATTTTCAGAATGATGTTGTTCTCTGTAGTGTTCAAGGTATCGGTCTCCAAGTACAACATGCTGTATTAATTTCTTAACTTTATACTTTTCTTCATTAAAAATGCAGCTCTTGAGGTTAGTAAAAGAAAGCTTAAATTTTTATCAAATTCACAAAGCTATTGAATGAACGTCGACTATTTTCATTTACAAGGAAAATTTAGAATCATTTGTTTTGATGGTGTATTAGACTATCATGGTTCTGTATATTTGTAACCAATTTTTAAGCTTCATTTTACCTTCATTTCCTTGGTTGTTCAATCCCAAATCCATTCATGTCCATATATTCTATTTTTTAAAATACTTTTATTTTTTACGTGTTTGTATATATGTCTGTGCACGAGGCGGACAGAGAGTTGTCTGTTCCCCTGGAGCTGAAGTTACAGGCAGCTGTGAGCTGCCTCATATGTTGGTGTGGGTTTAGATCTTCATCTTGGTTCCTCTGCAGAGCCAACTCTTCAGCCCCAGCATATTCTGTACAGAGAGAAGTCTTAGACCAAAAGTGTCACGCCTCACTGGTCTATTTGTTTTCTTGGAAAGTGGCAATGTTTTACTGTGTCAGTCCCTAGTGTTTCCCAGAATCTAGGCTTTATTTATTTATTTATTTTTTCTTGTTTTGATTCCCACGGAGACTGGGGTAATGGAGACTTTAAACCAGAAAAACCCCACATTTTTTTTTTTTAAACCTCCATAAAAAATTTGAGGCTGTGTTAACAAAGTATTAAGTAACCTTTTAGAAAGGGAGAGGTTAAAAGTGTCAGCCACGAGAGTACCTAAGCGATAGCATGACAAAGTTGCCAGTGTCACATCGGGTGGGTGTCTTTGGAAAGTGCTGTTTGCAGAGTAAGGTAATTAGTCATTATCCTACTATGTCCCAAGATCATTGGGACATCTTTATGTTCAGGCAGTTCTTTTGCCTTAATTCCAATCTAGACAGCATTTAGCTACTGTTATTATACTTTAATAGAATTACTATTTTATGTGAATATGGTGAGTTATAGCAATATACTTATATTCATCAAGTGACAGCATGAACATATTTGACTGTTAAGGGGATGGAGACACATGGTTATGGTTAGCATTTTATTTTAACTTGGTATCTATAAAGAATGGGCTCCTAATAAAAGTTTGGGTCATATTGGAAGGAGAGTCTACAAATGCACGTTGGTTATGTTGCAGATCTAGTGTGCAATTATTGAACAGAATTAGCTTATGGTTGTTGGAGGGGGGGGCCCACACTGAATACTTTAAACTCATTTCATTTTTTTGCACAGCAAGTATTTTATTGAGGTATACATTGGCATAACAGCATGCAGTTACTATGACCAATGTAATGAACCTTAATACATTGCCCTAAATTTCTGGGGACTTACTCTTTGTAAGTTCTTTGACTCTTCACTCCCACATTTCTTGTATTAGTTGTAATTAATAAGCAAAATCCTTATGGTAATGATTTAGAGTAGTTTCTCAAATGTATATTGTTTGAATTTAAGATGATTTAGAATGAATTTAATTTCCGTAAGTATATTCAATTTACCTCAAAACTGATTTTATTTGAAAATATTACAAATCTCACTCTAAGCAAAGTTTCCTTAATTTCTGCCTAAATTATATTTTAAAACCACTTTTATAAAGTTTTGAAAAGATTTATGGAATATCCAAAGAAATTCTGATGTTGGAAGCCATTTTATTTTAAAGATTTCTAGAGTTTTCCATTTTATTTTTGGGAGTACAAGGTTTCATGATGTAGAATAGTCTGGCTCAAAGTCGTGGTCCTTCTGCCTCAGCGTTCTGAGTGCAGAGATGACACACTGCCACTGTGCAGCACATCCAGCTTTCGAACTATTCCTTGTCAGCAAGGAAACTCAGCTTTAACTTGATGCATCATCATTTTTTAAGTGTTACATTCGTTTGGTTACTATTTTATTAAAGTTCTTTGTATATGTATTCATATAGATTGTCTCACTTTGCTTTATGCAAGCCTTTTTTTTGGCCCTAGTCTCAAGGTCTTATGGACCTCCTACATTGGAAAGTCTTGCCTTTGGTGTTTTCCCTACAAGAGTTGTATTCTATGACCCACAATGATTTAACACTTTACACAGACTCACTTGTGAGGCCATTTGGGTTTCTGGGAATGGGCATCAGCTTTGATTCAAAGTTCTTTGGTGATCAGAGAAGTATGGCTTCCCTCTTTCTCACTGAGGATATTTGGATGGTGTCTTATCACAGTGTTATTTATTCACCTATTTGGATGGTGTCTTATCACAGTGTTATTTATTCACCTGCCAGATTTTACATTATTGGGAAGCCATTTTTTTTAAAGTCACAGAAAAACAATTTGGCATATCCCTAAATTTTAAATGAATGTTAATATACTAGCCTAACTTGCAGCAGTCTAAATTTTAACACAAAACTGGTGTCATAAAGCAGTCTGGTTATGTTGGGTTTGAGTCTGATATATTTACAGTAATTAGAAGTACAAGCAGTTGGAAACTGGATGCTTGACTTTGGGGAAGTTATGATTTCCTGAATTCACAATAGCGACTGGGAAAGGCGATGGGCAGAGGACTTTTCATGCAGTAGCAAAATCTGTAAAAGACCCAGGTGGTGCGTTTCTTTTTCCTGCTTAACATGTTTCTTTGGGTGAGGTTGAGTACTGGGAATTAACCCATAGCTATGGTTTCCAAGGAGAGCTGTGATTGGTTTAACCTAGAATTTTTAGTTCAACATTTGAGAATGTATAAACTTAGCATAGTTTAACAGGTTTTCTTGTGATTTTGTTTATTTACTGGATATAATTTATATATTTAGGATATTTTGTGATATTCAGTGCCTTTTATTAGAATACATTATACATAATTGATTTTATTACATTTCTTTAATGGATGTACAACATTTGGTCATATGCCCTTCCCATCCTGATATTACCCCCAAGTCTTGTTAGTCTCACTTCCCAAATTACACCTGCATCTATTGACTTCACCTGGCTTCATTTATTTATTGTGGGACTTGTGTTGAGTTGTTTTGGGTTAGTTTTGTTGATCCGGTGAATTTGCTGCCGTTTACTGAAGCCTTGTTTGCTGTAGGCATCCTACCAGTGGCTACAGCCCTGGAAAGTTTCTTGCTCCACTGCCAACCCTCAGTTAGCTTATGTGTGTAATTGCTCAGGAAAGGGCAGGAGCCCTGTGAGGCCCTCTCTCTGCCCGTACTGGGTGTGGATGGACCCAATCTTCAGAGCCCTTCCTTACACAGTGTCTGTGTGATCCTCTGTGGCGTTGTATTCTTGTAGGAGCAATCTAGCAGGATGGCATTAGGGCCCTGCCATGGTGTGTTCTGAACAGCAGATCCCTGGCAGGATGTGCAAGAGTGTTTTAGTAGTGCATCTCAAAACTGCATGGTGCTGTACTGACTAATTTAGGATGACAGTTATTGGTCGAGTCACCCTCTCAGCTTTATTAGATGCTTGTGGCTTGGGTGTCGGTTTTAAGTTCTTGCTAGAACTCCAAAATTATGGGCACACAGGTGTCAAGTCCATGTAGTTTGAAACTTTGCCCCCTTAAGAGTTGTGACTTTAACCCAGATACTTAACTCTAGACATGGATCTGTCCCACATGGGGTTATTGTGAGAATTAAGGATAATTTCACATACTTGGTTTGACTCCTAAGCCATAAGTTTTAGCTGTTCGTTTGAAACACAGACAGGGTTTCTCTCTGTAGCCCTGGCTGTCCTGGAACTCACTTTGTAGACAAAATGGTTTCTAAACTCACATCCACCTGCCTCTGCCTCTTGGGTACTGGGGTTAGAGATGTGCACCCGCAAAGCTGTTGCTTTACAAACAACCTTGTTCTGTATTTAAAGCTACATTTTAAACAGCCACTGTTGTGACCCTATGGAGTATCCTGAGTCCTCAGTGAGTTACAATAGCCGTCACTTTTGCTTCACTTATTTGACATGCTCAGTTGTAAGTTGGCAGTTTGATTTTGTTCGGTCTTTAAAAAGATTGGCTTTTGACAAAGTGCCGTCATTGGATTTCAGTAGTAGAATGTGTGTGTGTGTGTGTGTGTGTGTGTGTAGATATAATTGAAAGGTTAGGTTTCCATACCTGAAAATGAAGCTATTTCAGTTAGTAACACCACTTAAAACTTCGTGGAAATAAGGTAAGTTTGGTTTGACTTGCCAACTCACTTTTTGAAGGTTCGTTGCTTTCTGGAATGCTAAAGGTATAAGGGAAAGTAGCTGGAGAATCCACTTGTACTGCATACTTTGGTATCTAAGTTTTCCAGGACTAGGCGACTTGCATATTTTGAGAAAATTAGGTTGTAGGTGTCAGCTCTTGAGGCTTACTCTCTCTACATTTAAAAATAAACTCAGATTCTAGTGTGTTGTTTCTTAGTAGGCAGCTGTGTGCTGCTTGGTTTTCTAAGTGTGTATATGGATATGAACATATTCATGCTCATATCATGTAGGTGTCTTCAAAGACCAGGAG